GCTCATCTAATCTAATCTAATCTAAATAAAAATCAAATGGTAAATGTTACAGACATTTTACTCAATCATCCCTATGGATGGATATTTGTTTCATGTCGTATGGAGTCTGAGGTTCCTTCTAAATAGTGCAAATTTGTAAGGTCATTATGTTCTCCGTATTGTCTTCCTTTTGTCCCTAAAATCTTATTGTGTGAGTCTTGGCCTCAGCAAATCTTGCAATGAGGAGATCCACTGACTTCAGGATTTAAGACAAAGAAACCTTCAAAGCCTGAAGTTTTTCTGAAAATTCAGCACAAAAAGACAAAATAATAAATTTAATAATCATTAAGACAGCAGAAGAGATGATAACTGGAAGAAGAACCAGAAAGGAGGAAATATTAATGGCTTAAAAATACTTTTAAAAAAACAAAAAACACAATGTGGGGAACTGTGACCAGCATAGGGAGAATGAACGGATAGAACATTTAACAGAGTAAATTTTCAATCAGCTTATACTTATATAGCACTTTATTTTTCTTTTCTGTTTTGAAGATATCAAATCATCCATAAACACATTCACATGCAGACATCTGCCAAGTTGTGTTTTAGATTTTCTTATTGTTGCATTATAGTTACATAAACCAATCTTTCCCAATCATATAGTTAAATATATTTAGAGTTAAGAAACTCCAAGTGCAAATAATTGAGAATTGTATCCATATAGTTTGTGGACCCCCCTCAGACAGTCTTGTCCCCCTGTGGCCCCCCACAACAACAAAAAATGTTGACTCCGCTATTGGCTGGAAGCCATCATCATTAAAGAATAGTGACAGTAAATAATTAAAATACAATTAGCACATTTATTATTAAAATGCAAAATCAGAGCAGAATTTGTACTTTTATTAATCACATTCCTTAGGAGCAGAGGGTTGCTTGTAACCTCCAGGGAGGGAGTGCTGCAGGCGTAGGCTTGATTTAAACTTTGACAGGGACACTATTGGTCTGATGTCATTGGTCCTATGCAAAAATATGCATTGCCATTTTTTTATGCTTGACGTGAAAATCAGGGTGTATTTTGTTTAAAGAGAAAAGCAACATTTCTTGCTACATTTATACAAATTTTATAAGCGTTACACACACTAGATGCTGTTTATCAATGTTTGAAGCATCACTGGCTCTGATGGATGAGGAATTATGACTAAATTCCACTTTGAAAAGGTTTGCATTTGAAATTACCAGCGACTAAGACAGAAAGTAAATCTGTGCCTATTTAACAGAATATTGTCTAAATATGTCTGTTATATGTGAATTTATCCTGTTTTTTCATTTGAAGATATACAACTGTGCAGAGGTAAACAGAGGTAAAACCCACTCTTATCTTTTAAATATTCTCTCTGTATCATGAAACAAAGCAAAATAATAGATTCAAGGGACACCAAATACATTTATTGTATTTACATGAGCACTGGAACTGACACTGAATATTTAGAATATTAATTTCACTCTACAAGTCATCTAGGCTGTAGTTACTCTATTTAACCCATATCATGTATTTTATCTTGGGCTGAAACAATTCATTAGATTAATCGATTACTGAAATGTCAACAAATTTAGTAATCGATTAATCGTTAACTGGAGTATAGAGACTTTAAAACATATCTTTAACTCACAGAGCGACCCGCTTAGAGCAGGAATTATACCAAAATTGTACAAATTATATATAAACATTTTGCATTTTAGATCAAAAATGTTTTTGTCTGTCAATATTCTCCATCCAGAACTCCTCTACTGCTGCAACAAAGCTGTATTGTAAATTATAAACATGTTATTCACATCTAATTGTTGGTAGGGACAAGTAGGTCGGTCCAGAATATTGGTAGGGACATGTCCCTATGGTCCCTATGCAAACCTACACCCATGACTGCAGGGTCTTGCTCAGGGAGCCAGAGTTACAGTGAGGTTGCAGCTCCCTAACCATCAGATCTCCCCCCCTAAGAGTTAAAACACAAAGTGAAATATATGACTCTTTGTTGTAAATCTCAGTTGCCTTTTTATTGTCTAACGAAATCAATGAAACCTGATTACTTTTTGGTTACAAATTTACTGAGCTGCACCTAAGAATATACACTACAGTAATAATTAAAAATAAAAACATAGAAAAGAAAATGCGTATTTAAAGTTCTTAGATAAATTAACTAATAATAGATGCATTTTTTTAGATTAAACGTAATTTTTTTTTGCATTAAATAATTCAGGTATAAGTTTGGAATTGAATTCATTGGGCTGTAGAAGAAGAATGGTCCCAGATTTTACAATCCTTTACTGACACCTGCTGGCGAAAAGCAGAACTGCACATATTCGGCTCAGCTGCAGCTGCTACTGACACTACGAAGGTGAACAAAGGTAACTCAAAACATATTTATTGTTAACATTTAAAGTAATTGATAACTTTATTAATACGGTGTCAGATGTTGTCTCTGTTGTAGTCCAACCATGGTTAGCAAACTGCTTTCGTTTAATGTCAGCTAGTCTGCTCAGGTAGGAAAGTGGTAGCTAGTTTGTTTGCTAGTACTGTAATGCTAACCATAGCTAGTTAATTCCAAATATTGAAGGTTGTGTAAATGTAAAAGAAAGACGTAAACAGTAGGTTCTGTAAAAAAAAAAAAAATAACATTTATTAAATCGACTAACATAGTAGTGCTATTTTGATTGCTTTGATTCATTTATGTCTGCGTTAAATGAAGCTAACTTCCTGTTTAGACACTGATCTGTTTCTTTTATTGACTTCCTTAAAGAGTTACTGTTAGAGTAGGTGAATGTAAATAAAGCTAATAATAGGGGAAGTGTATGTATGGTAAACATACTCATAGATCTATAAAAAAAAATAATATATATATATATGTATGTGTGTATATATATATATATATATATATATATATATATATATATATATATATATATATGAATGTATGTATGTGTGTATATATGTGTTTATTAAAAGACAATGGAATTCTTTTTACTAAGAAAAAGGCTTTTAATTGATTTTAATAACCGGTTAATTGTTTTCTAATGTTTATGACACTTAATAAACTCCAGTAAACATTAGTTCATACCAGTCACAAGAATTACTTTACTTTAAAATCATTTAACAGCAAAAAACTTTTAGAATTTTTATCAGTTTGCGGGTTGAAAGATTTTTTTAAGCTGATTAAACTCAATCAATGTATTTTGCATAAAACTAAAATGGAATGTGTATGTGTGAACACACTGATTATTTTGAAGGGATTAACAAATCATATAATCAATTTCTCATCACCAAGTGTGACCAGCTCCAGCGCTGAAATGATTAATCAGATCAATTGTGATTTATTGATTGTTTAAATTATCGTCAACTAATTGAGCAATCAATTATTCATTAACTGTTCTACAGAGACTCTAAAGCATGCCATTAGCTGTAAGAACCATATCAATCAGAGCAGTAATTATACCAACATTACAAAGAATATATACAATTTTTTCATTTAAGAAAATAAAAAAACCTTTTTGTCTGTCAGAATGCTCTATCCAGATCTCCTTAAATGGCAGTTTTAGCTTCTGGTTTAAACTCTGTATAAAATCTTCTTCAAGGAGCTTTTTTTCTGGTTATTACTTGATTAATTAAAAATATAACAGACATATTAATCAGTTAGCAAAATAATCAAAATAATAGCTGCATCTCTATAAAACCAGCCCATTTAGCAGTTTGATAGTCTGGAGGTGTAATGCTTTGCTTCATGGTCATTCTGTATGTTAAATATCATGACAGTCACTATAATCCAGATTAACCTTTAAACATAGTGAGTCATTTATTATCTAAATTAATAAATGATCACAACTTAGACAACTTTTATTGCCATTTTGTTTACACAGAGTGTATACAAAACTAAATTTAGTTTTGTACAGCTTTCAGAATATTTCCATAAAGTGCAGCAGTGATCAAATGTAAACAGTGTGGGAGAAAAAACATGGTGCAAAAACACACTGATATGGAAGTTCAGAGCATTAAATATATATGGAGCAAATATGCAGTATTTTTGGTTTGGTTTTGTCAGTGTGATGCAGAGTCCGTGACATGATTTAGAGTGTTTCAACAGTTCAGCCGTCTGATGGCGGTGGGAAAGAAGCTGTTGCAGAATCTGCTGGACCTGAATGCTGCGAAGCCTCTTCCCAGAGGGCAGCAAGAAGAACAGTACAATTAAAACATTTATATATTAAAAAATATATATTCATTCAACATATATACTACGAAGTGTAGCAGTCTAGCCAGACTTTATTCAGACGACGCACTCAATGATGATAACTGATGGACTATGGTGGGGTATTCCAACCCATTTATTAATCAGAAATGGAAATACACCATAGACACACCGTAAGAGCTGTAGATAAACAAAACAAATTACAAAATTACTCCACTCAACATAGGATAAATACCATGAATTCCATTAGCTACCATTAGCTATCATTAGCTACCGTTAGCTAGCATTAGCTTCTTCAACTTCTTGTTTTATATATAAACTCTAAATAAACGTAGAGTTATTATACATATAAAACTACACAACAAAGAAAATTATACCTGTTCGCCTTCCAGCTAGATGCCATATAAAAATGTGAATGGAAACCGTACTTTAACAAGCAGCAAAACCATCTGGTGAGAATGCAGGCACGCAGTGCTTCTTTCAGTTGAACCGGAAATAGAAATCAACCCTTCAAAATAAAGGCACGTAAACCCTTTTTGCCGAAATTCACTATTAATCCAAAATGTATTGCTTTAAACGGAGGAATCAGGAACATTAGGCATAACAACAAATAACAATATGTGGATAAAAGCATATAAAAAAATATATATATTAGTTATAACAAATATCTGGGTCCTTTACACTCCCACCAAATCATTGGTGTTTCAAAACAGAAGGCTGATGATCACAGAAAGATAAAACACAAATGATTTCCAAACAAAAGGACCAATGACTAGAAATGTGTTATTATTCGTTATCTAGTAACAGGACCAGTTTCTGAACTGGCCGTTCAAGTACTGACTGTTTGGTGAGACGTTCACCTTTTTTGCCTAGCTTTCTGTCACCCAAACATATCTTTACTCTCCTAACCAAACCATCTCTATCCACTGTAGTTTCTATAACTCTACACAACTTCCAGTCATTTCTGGGGAAGTCATCGTCTTTCATCAGGACTATATCTCCCACTTGCAGGTTCCTCCTTGGGGCATGCCAGCATTGTCTAACAGCAACGTTGGACAGATACTCTTTCCGCCAACGGCTCCAAAACTGCTCTGCTAAATATTGCACATGCCGCCATCTTCTTTTGGCATACAGGTCTTCTCTGACAAACTTGCCTGGGGGAGGAAGAGCTGGAGTAGACTTCATGGTGAGTAGGTGGTTAGGGGTGAGTGGCTCGAGGCTGTTGGGATCATTGAGATTTTCAACAGTGAGAGGGCGGCTGTTCACTATTGCCATTGCCTCATAGAAGAATGCTCGAAGGGAAGCATCGTCAAGATTTCCCGGAGAGAGTGAGAGGGTGGAGTTGAGAACGCTCCTGACCGTTCTAATTTGTCGCTCCCACACTCCGCCAACATGGCTTGAACCTGGAGCATTCATAACAATATCACATTGATTCTCAGAGAGAAAGGTTGCCAATCTGTCATTGTCGACTTCTTTGAGAGCTTCCTTCAGTTCATTTTTAGCGCCCAGAAAGTTGCTTCCTTGGTCAGATTTAATCTGGCGCACTGCCCCACGTATGGCAATGAAGCAACGCATCCCATTTATGAAGGAGTCCGTTGAAAGATCCTCCAACATTTCGATATGGATGGCCCTAGAGGAAAAGCAGGTGAAGAGAAGTCCATATCTTTTACGTGTGTTTCGCCCCTGCTTTGTGTAGAAAGGCCCAAAGCAGTCCATCCCACAGTATAAAAAGGGGGGGAATGAATCAACACGCTCTGGAGGGAGATCAGCCATTTTTTGTTCTTCTGTGCATCTCCGAAGCTTACGACACTTCACACACACACGGATATGAGATGCCACGGCCCGACCAATCCCTAATATCCAATAGCCTTTCTCCCTGATGGCATTAATGGTCATTCCTTTGCCTTGATGTTTAATCTTTTCGTGACAGTGTGCGATGATCATTCTGGTGATGTGATGTTCCTTTGGAATGATAGCTGGGTGTTTGACTTCGTAAGGGAGATTTGAATCACGGAGTCGTCCTCCCACCCTGATCACACCATCTTTGTCCACAAAGGCGTTGAGGCGGTGCAGACTGTTGCGGGGTGGCAGTTGAGAGCCCTTTATTAGCAGCCTCAGTTCCTCTGAATATATTTGTCTCTGTAGGTCTTTGATTATCACGCACTCCGCATCTTGTCTTTCCTTCTCTGTTGAGAGACTGTTTGATTTGTCTCTGTTAATCCTGCGAAGGATGCGTGCCACTGCACGTACAGCCCTGGACCAGGACGAGAGTTTTAACAAGTGATCCGTGATAGAGTCTTGTTCTCTAGTTTCCGTGCTTAGGGTCTGAGCTCCCTTTACTTCTGGATCTCCCACAGGCAGTTCTGAGATCACCACTTGTGGAAAGTGGATTTCTCTTTCCCATAAGAAAGTGGGGCCAGTGAACCAGGTCGACGATATCAGTTCATCGATGGATAGCCCTCTAGAGGCATGATCTGCCGGGTTTAGGTCAGAGGGAACATATCGCCACTGATCTCGAGTTGTACTTTGATGTATTTTCTGGACACGGTTGGCCACAAACATGTGGAAACGGCGAGCCTCATTGTTGATGTACCCTAGTACGACCTTGGAATCTGTCCAGAAATACTCCTTTATGTCAGCATCTCCAAGCTCCTCTTTTAGCACAATACTGGTTTTCACTGAGATTACTGCAGCTGTGAGCTCTAATCTCGGAATTGTGATGACCTTTGTTGGAGCAACACGAGATTTTGCCATAACTAAGGCACAGTGGATCTTTCCTTCTTCATTCATGAGTCTTAAGTATGAACACTGTCCATAGCCAGACATGCTTGCATCTGAGAAGTGGTGCAGCTCTCTTTTTGTAGCTTTTCCAAACTCCACAGGTGCATAACTCCGGGGTATGTTTAATTTTTCTATGTTGATAAGGTCGTTTTTCCATTTCTCCCACCGTGGACGAAGTTCCTCTGTCAAAGGATCATCCCAGTTCGTTCCACGTCTACACATTTCCTGCAGCACTGCCTTTCCAACAAGCAAAAATGGGGCTACAAACCCTAAAGGGTCGTACAAGGAGGCAACCACGGATAGTATGCCTCGACGTGTTGCGGGCTGGTCTTTCAGATTAATGCTGAACTTCAAGCAGTCTGAGTTGACATGCCATTGGATACCCAACGCTCTCTCTGAAGGGAGGTCATCACAGTTAAGGTTTAGATCTTTAACATCAGACGAGCGTTCAGAGGATGGTATGCTTTCCAAAACAGCTCTGTTGTTAGACACAAACTTGTGGAGCCTAAGACCTCCAAGAGCACAAAGTTCTCTGGCCTCTTGAGCCAGCTGAATGGCCTTTTCCGTACTATCCACACTTGCTATCCCGTCATCAACATAAAAGTCTCTCATAATGAACTTTGAACCTAGTGGATACTGGTCTTTATTTGCTGTGGCCAGATGTTTTAAGCCATAGTTTGCGCACCCAGGCGAGGAAGCTGCGGCAAAGATATGCACTCTCATTCGGTACTCCTGGGGCTGCACGCTAAGATCTCCTTTCTTCCACCAAAGGAAGCGCAGGTAATCTTGGTCTGACTCTTTAACGTGAAACTGATAAAACATCTTTTCAACGTCGCACATAAATGCGGTCGAGTTGAGCCGGAAGCGAAGGAGGACCCCGTTTAGATTGTTCATCAAGTCAGGTCCAGTAAGCAGATGATCATTTAGACTGGTACCCTTGTACTTAGCTGAACAATCAAATACCACACGTAGCTCGTCTGGCTTTTTAGCATGGTATACACCGTGATGAGGTATGTACCATTTTTCGCCCTCCTTTCCTTCTTCATGGACTTCTTCTGCATACCCATTTTCTATGACTTCTTCCATAAACTTGATGTACTCCTTTCTGTGATCTTCATCTCTTAACAACTTCCTCTTGAGATGGCTGAGGCGTACAATGGCAAGCTGTTTGTTGTCAGGTAAGATGGGTCTCTCCTTAAAGGGTAACGGCATCTCATAGTGACCTTGACTGTTTTTCTTGATGGCGTTCTTGAGCTTATCCAAGAACAGAATGTCTTCCTGGGATGCTGTCCTGCCATCTTCTTGGGCATCTTTGAAGTCAGACTCCAGAACACGAATAGCATCTCCAGGGGTAATCGAAGGGAGCTCCTTGACTGCAACTCGAAAACATTGTCTAACTGCACTTGAAGCATCCAGACATGGTGAGGAGCAACCCATTATGCTCCACCCTAGGTCGGTACGAACCGCAAAGGGCTCATCATTTCCTCCTGCTATTACTTCTCTCGGTGTCATTGCCCTTGCACAGTTATATCCTATTAAAAGTCCAACTTCGCAATCCTGCAGTGGTGCAATCTCATTTACAACCTTTGAAAGATGATTCCAATTTTTGGCTGTTTCACATGTAGGAATATGAGCACGGTTTACCGGTATGCAATCCTTGGTATAAGTGGGAGGAAGGTCAATGTAGAGAGAGGAGGAGTAGCCTCGTACACGAAGCCCTGAGACCCTTTGGCTTTTCATCACCACATCACGTCCAATCATGGTTGTTAACTTTAGTTTGACTGGACAGGACTCTGCCTTTAGAGAATTACTTACTTCCTGGTCGACAAATGTCGTGTCACTTTGTGTGTCCAGCAATGCATAAACCAGCTTTTCTGTTTGTGAATCATTCCTTGAAACCCATACGGGCACAATCATAGACGTGTTGGTAGCCTGTCCTGTAGTCACTGACATGGAAGTTGCAACAGCTTCTGTGTGACTACTTGGGGTGGCATTTTCCTGTAGTGATGCCCTTTCTTTCCTTACATAATTGTTGTCATGCAGACAAGTGGGATGTCTGCCTTTACATGTATTACAAGTATGTCGATATCGGCAGTCTTTTGCACTATGACCAGGTTTAGTGCAGCCATAGCAGAGGTTATGTTTCTTAAAGAATTCTCGCCGCTCTTCCAGTGTTTTTTCAGTGAACTTGGGACATCCATGGAGCCTATGCTGATTTTCATGACAGAATGAACAAGGAGGCCTATCCTTTCCTTTAGCTGACCTCTGTTTGTCCTCACTGGTCCCAGTTTGAGTACTCAGAACACTTGCCTTGTTACGCTTAGGCTCCCTGCTTTCTCGTTTTGTAGTGGTGGACTCAGAGCTGTGAAGTGCATAGGCTGAAGTAATCGGATTACAAGCAACCTCTGCTTCCATAGCCATAAAGGTGGCAAAGTCTTTGAAGCTGGGAAACTCTTTTTTCTCTTTCAAGGCTTCTGTGGTTTTCCTATTCCAGCGAGATGCTAGCCACTCAGGTAATTTGTGGACTAGCTTCTTATTTTCCTCACAGTCGTTCAGTATTTCAAGACTCTTCACATGTGTCATTGCATCTTGACAGGCGTTCAAGAAGTCTGCAAAATCTCTTAATGCTTCTGCATCCCTTGGTTGGAGCTTTGGCCAATTAGTGAGCTTGTCACGGAAGGCTCTCTGTATAATGAAGGCTTGGCCATATCTGTCATCTAGCTTGTTCCACGCGTCCTTGTAAGCCTCATCATCATTTCTATAGAAAGTTCCTTCAAGGGTTCTTCGAGCTGGACCACCAACATATTTCCTTAAGTAATAAAGTTTGTCTGCTGTGGAGATTGCCTTTGCGTCAATAAGTGACATGAAGGAGGTTTTCCACTCAATAAAATGGATAGGGTCACCGTTAAAAACAGATGGTTCTGGTACTGGAAGTCTATTTAGAGCCATACTGTCTTGAAAGACTTGGGCGAGGGATAACACATTCATGTCAGGTGACGATGCTAAAACATTGTTTGTTCGATTGCTGGTCACAGCTGGGTTCTGATTTCTCTCTGAACTACTTGAGTAAGAAACACTGCCTTCCTGCGATGCTCTCTGTTCGTAAACATGCAGTCTGGCCCGGGCAGCCTTTAAATCCTTTTCTGCCTGAAGGCGTTCAAGTCTGCGTTTTTCTACTTCTATTTGCCTTTGTTGCTGCTCTATTTTTTCCATTTGCTTCTCTTCTTCCAGCAACCCTTGAAACTCTGCTTCCTTTGCGGCAAGCTCTGCTGCAGCATCCACTCGCTTAACTGTAAGGGATGTGCTCTCATGACTGTGGACTGAGTTAGTAATTCGAGAGACAGTGGATCCATAGATGGAACGTGCATAGCTACTCTTAAGTAGTTCTTTAAGACGGGATTTTACTTGCTGTTCATCATAATCTCCATCAATGCCTGACATTCTCTCATAGGTAACCTTTAAAATATCTGCTGTAATGGCCTCACAACTATCAACACGGCGCCTTAAAGCCGGTGACGGTGTGATGTGATTTCGCACTTCAAGGTAGGCATTCAACACAGCCTCTTTGTCCTTCTCTAAAGAGTCCATCAGAGAAGCCAGTTCACTTTCATTGATATCCAACTTAAGCTGCTCTCTTGACTCACGGGCTCGAGTCTTCCATTTTTCATATGTTGAGGTGAACTTTCTTTCCCTTTTTCTTGCCTCTTCTTGTTGCATTTCGAGCATTTTAGAAGTTGGATTTTTTGGACGGGTTGAGCGTCGGAGGCCTGCTGTTAGTTCACTTTGTAAGCTGCTCAATTCCCTTTCTTTGCCTTGGATTTCTTTTTCAAAAACTTCTCTCTCTGCACACTCTGGTGTATTTATAAGAGATGCTTTAAGGGCTTCGATTCTAATTTGGAGGCTATCAATCTGATTCTCTAGCTCTGATTGTGGGGTGGGATTCTCCATTTTCTTCATATTTAGTTACAGTTTAATAAACCTTATTTAATGGATTTTCCGTATTTACCGTAGTTTATAGACTGCACTAATTAAGAAGAAATTCCTTACTTTAGCACCACATCAAAGAAAGGGCAGGTAGCCTTCGTACAATGCAAAGAAAAATAAAACTCAAACATAAGCTTCAAATGCAGTTTCCATATAAAACATCCACCTTTTTTTTTTTTTTTTTTTTTTTTTTGTGTCTATTCCGTAAATGTCCTTTGTAATTGACACCCTTTTACCTTCTTTAACTATTAAAGATGAGTTGACGTTCTTCTTGAAGATGGATCGTTACTTCTTAGTTAAAATGAAATGTTCCATACCTTGTCTGACCTTCACACCAAACCAATAAACTGCCTGCGTGATGACCATGAAGTCTATGTCCATCTGATCCGTAAAATGGTGCCAAGTTGCTCTAAGAAGTATCTGTTGTCATCACATGCTGAGTAGCAACGTAGCTCCGTGTGGTCTTCATGGCTCGATCATGCAGCGTGGCAGCAGGAATGATGCAGGAGAAAGCTCTTACTGTAGCAGTCTAGCCAGACTTTATTCAGACGACGCACTCAATGATGATAACTGATGGACTATGGTGGGGTATTCCAACCCATTTATTAATCAGAAATGGAAATACACCATAGACACACCGTAAGAGCTGTAGATAAACAAAACAAATTACAAAATTACTCCACTCAACATAGGATGAATACCATGAATTCCATTAGCTACCATTAGCTATCATTAGCTACCATTAGCTAGCATTAGCTTCTTCAACTTCTTTTTTATATATAAACTCTAAATAAACGTAGAGTTATTATACATATAAAACTACACAACAAAGAAAATTATACCTGTTCGCCTTCCAGCTAGATGCCATATAAAAATGTCAATGGAAACCGTCCTTTAACAAGCAGCAAAACCATCTGGTAGGATGCAGGCACGCAGTGCTTCTTTCAGTTGAACCGGAAATAGAAATCAACCCTTCAAAATAAAGGCACGTAAACCCTTTTTGCCGAAATTCACTATTAATCCAAAATGTATTGCTTTAAACGGAGGAATCAGGAACATTAGGCATAACAACAAATAACAATATGTGGATAAAAGCATATAAAAAAATATATATATTAGTTATAACAAATATCTGGGTCCTTTACACGAAGTAACACTGAATAATACAGCATTTAATTGTCTCAAATGATTTCATTGTTAAAAAGGAAGCCAACTAAAAAAGTAAAGGCGTCACAAAGGTATCCAATTTCTTTTTGTTTTACACATGTGTAAACAAAATGACAAATAAATCTGTCTAAGTCACCTCTTTAAAACCAATAAAATGCTTTGGCTTCTGTCGGTAACGCCTACTTAGTAAGGCAAGTTGGATCTTTCATTTTTTATCTTTTTTTACACTTAGAATGTACTTAAATATTTTTTGTCTAATCTGAAAAACATCAAGAACATCGTCAAGAAGACAAGACTATTACGTTAAGTCCAGATGTCTAAAATACTTCAACAGTAAACCAAACGAAAATAAATAAAACCAACATTTGGACTAAATAACTAAAAATTAGCTCATCCACTACTGAAAAAAATGGATTTCAATTGATTATTATTCACATGTTGATTTTCTTTTAAGAACATTTAGTCACATTATAAAGACTGAAGACAGTGTAGTTAATATTTGAGGATATTTTTCTGTAATGTAAGAAAGTTAAACTGCGCAGTAAAAGGAAATGGAATTCTGATGCATTAATCTGTTTATGTCCCTCAGTTCAGCCCAAAGTGGTCCTAAATGATTTCAGAATGGAGTCAAGTGGAAAACCTTCAACGGCGCAGATTGTGGTTTTAGCCACCAGCTCTGCGCTGACTGCTGTATTTTACTCCATCTACAGAAACAGAGTTAAAATTGCTTCCTGTTTAAAGGTCAGCCATGTTTCCTGCACAAAAATGGCAAATGTTTCAATTTAGCACGAGTAATATGACATCGGATCTCATGTTTAAACACAGGAAGCCAAGAAAGTCTCCATAGATCAGGATTTAAAAGCCATCCTGTCTGAAACCCCCGGAAGATGTTTCCCCTATGCTGTCATAGAAGGTTTGCTAAGTGTTCTTTAAATCCTAAATAAGATCTTAGTTCACCTTTTGCTTTAATTGTAATAGTTGTTACCTGCTGCAGGTGAGGTGAGATCCGTGAAGGAGACTCTCAGCAGCCAGTTCGTTGATAACTGCAAAGGAGTCATCGAGAGGCTGACTGTGAAGGAGGAAAAGATGGTGTGGAATCGCACCACACACTTATGGTGAGTGGAGGAAATATAACAGGTGATGCTTTCCTATTCTGCCTATAAGCTTTCCTTTTGTTTAAATAAAAATAAAAAAGCATTTGCCTATTTTGCTTTTATTAAATGCTTTTCTGGCATCCAGTCCCAGCACTGACATCAGAATTTCACACATAAGCAGATTGAGAATGATTTAATAAAACTATTAAAATCTAGCATGAAATAGTGATGTCAGAGCAGGTGGTGACGCTGTCGCACATAACAGATTCCCAGAGTCCGTTTGTCATGTACCTTATCTTGTAGGCGGATTATTCAGATATTAATCAGGGAGGAAATTGATGAACTGCTGCCATCAGTTTGTTATTGGATAGTTTATTAGCAGCAACACGTTGTAAACAAATCTGCAAATGCCACACTCTAAATGTCACAGACTGTTTCCTGTTGGGTTTTCTCCTCAGGGAGAGCCTCAAACAAAGGTTTTTTTTCTTTATGTTTCTTTTACTTTTAATAAATCTATTTTGCATGAAGGGAAAAAATAGACAGGTAAAAAAAAAAATAAAAATTTAATCCAATTGACAAATCTTACTAAATCAGTGACCTTTGTTGTTCTTTGTAAAAAAACTCCGACATTATGTTTTAATGGTGCAAGGTGTTTTTTTTCTTTTTTTTTCTTCCTCAAACCGGTTCCAGTGGACTCATATAAACTAATGCTATTTACAAACTGCAGGAACGTCCCTCAACCACTTAAAGGTATACTATGCAACCGGTGTTGATTTTCCAGCGAGGCTCCCCCCAGAGGGCGAAAGTAAAAGTGCACTGTCGTAAATATGCTCAGCTGTTCTCCTGGTTTCTCCGTCAAGCCAGGCGCGGTTGTTTTGAGCTTAGCAAACAGGCGAACGCAACGAATCACCATGTCTACTGCGGTAAGTGACTATTTTGTTCCAATTTTCCAGTTTGAAAATTCTCGCTGCACAAATATCGCCACCGCGCTAGCAAAGAGCATGCCTTTCACTGGGGGCGTGTAGCAGTTCTCACCGTAGAGCAAGACTGACTCTCGCGATGCACGAGACTTCTGAGCCTGTGGGTGCGGGCCGAGGCCTCCTGCAATTGCAAGTACGGTATTTCCCCTACAGACCACCAGGGCGGCCGAGAAAACCTTTGTTCGACCTGAAATGACTAATTTAATCATCCAAAACGTTATGGAACACATTAATTAACTGAATAATGTTGCATAGTATGCCTTTAACCTCTGTTTCCACTGTAGAGGAATCATGGTATTTCATGTGTATATCTCAGCATTTTGCCTCATGATTCCCTCAGTTCTTTAAAAACACTCAATATGAGGGAAAATGCATAAAGAATACAAAACATTTGCACCTTCTACACTACCCCTCTGAAACCGATCTGTGCCGAGTTCGAGTTGGTTCTTAAGGCTATTTATACATCACGCTAGTTTTGTTCCTCGCCTCATATCGGCAGAGATGGGAAGTAACGAAGTACAAATACTTCCTTACTGTACTCAAGTAGATTTTTCTGATATTTTTACTTTACTTTACTACTTATTTTTATGGCGACTTTTTACTTCTGCTCCTTACATTTTTACACAAATATCTGTACTTTCTACTCCTTACATTTTTAAAAATTGGCTCGTTACTTTAGTTTTGAATCATTTCAATGGAGTTACCGTTATTATTTTTCACGTCATCAATACCAAATTCAATCTAATTGGATGGGAATCTACGTTGCATTTGACGCACCACTAGTTTGTGGTTGAAGTTTGTGTTGTGAACACGTGCAGAGATCTGTGAATTGCAAAGCTGGATACAACGGACACTTTCAATTTTTTTATTTTTTTTAGTAAGAAGCTTTCCAAAATTTCATTTCTGGATTGTGTTTTATTTTTTTCTCAAGTTTCTATTAACAAATCGTAATCTTTTTTTGCAACAATGACGGGACAAAATTCACTCCATATTCTTCTGTTTGTGTAACTATATTTCCAAACAGGAATAGCACAGAGAAAGTCATCCATCAGCGCACCAACGCCGTCCCATTTGCACTCGGGTCTCACGATGCAGACATCACCACCACTGTGCGGGTTGTTCGTCCCCTAGACGCAGCGGAGCTGGACCTGGAAACCACCTATGAGAACTTCCACCCCACAGTCCAGTCCCTGTCCAACGTCATCGGCCACTTCATCAGCGGAGAACGACCCAAAGGGATCCACGAGACGGAAGAGATGCTGCGAGTTGGCGACAGCGTGACGGGAGTGGGAGAACTGGTCCTGGATAACAACCTGATCAAGCTGCAGCCACCGAAACAGGGCTTCTGCTATTTCCTCACCCGGCAGGACTACGCGTCTCTCCTGAGGAAGCAGGTGAACGGCGTCAGGGTGTGGAGGATCCTGGCCGTCGTGTTTGGACTCGCCACCTGCTCCACTCTCCTCTTCATGCTCTGGAAGTGGTACGTTCTCCGCAGGGAGAGCAGGAAGAAGAAGAGCGTCCTGGAGGAGTTCAAGGAGCAGCAGAGGAAGCGTATGCGTGAACTCCAGATGGAGGAAAGCAGCGTTCCTCCCACCAGCTGCAGCGTGTGTCTGAGCCGGGAGCGCTGCTGCGTGTTCCTGGAGTGTGGTCACGTGTGTTCCTGCGGCCCGTGCTACGAGGCGCTGCCAGAGCCGAAGAAATGTCCCATCTGCAGGGCGACTATCGACAGAGTGGTGCCTCTTTACAACAGTTAAAATCCCTTTATCCTGAATGTTGGTCTGGCTTTCTCAGGCCTGAGAGGAGCTTTTAATCCAGCTCTGATGGTGACGGGTTACCTGCAATGAACTGAACTAAACCGGAGTCAAACCTTTTCAATCAAACCAATTAGGAAATTGAGAGAGAAAATGGGATGGCTTTGTGTTTAGAGCTTACAAATATTGATCCAACTCTTCTACAACAGTCTGCCAGAGAAGGTGGAGTTATGATCTGAGAAAGCTAAACTCATTATACAATAACACTGGAAGGATTATACATTTGGAGTCATTATAGCCTTATATCCGGTCAGCAGCTCTCAGTCTTTTACTATTATTTAAAATAATGTGGCACAAAGTATAGCACTGCAAACGCTGATCTAAAAATCAATACAAATGTCTTAAAATAGTGTGTTTTCCTTTAATTTGTGCAGGTAAATAGATGATCAGCCAATTGAATGAGTGTTCTTACCTTAAGATAATTAGATGTTACGCACTTTTGAGTTGCTTCCCTTACTTGATTTATGCTTAAATAAATCATCTTATTCCATTGGTTAACTGTCTTACTTACCTACCTGCTCAAAAAAAAAAGAGTAAAATCATTTATTTCAAGAAAATGTTCTTATTTTTCAGTTTTTGGTCTGCTACGGTATATAAAGTCGTCTCTGAAGACAAATCCCTCCACAGGATGATGCTGCCACCACCATGTTTCACTGTGGGTGTACTGCTCATTGTTATATGCAGTGTTGTTTTCATACTCTATCTGATTTGGTTAAACTTGTTGGTATATTTTCATCATGTTGTAATGTGTTATATGCAAATAAAACTGCTTTTTTACAGACCTGTGAAACTCATTTATTTACTTTTATGTAAACAAAAAGGAAAG